TAAATGTAGCAGAAATAGGAAGTAAGTTTAGAGTTTAGATAGTTATAGGAACGCACACAAGAAGCAACACACTATTTTTTTTCTTTAATGAAATGATATATAGTCAAATTGATCCATAATGACTCTATGGAGTAAACAAACATCCGAAAAAATATGAGAGAAACATTGCAATTTAATATTTCAACACAAAAAATGCGAAAAATCTGAGTGAGATTTGAACCCATTCTTAAAACACAATCAGTCATTAAGAGATCTACGCGCTTTTTTTTATCTTTAAATACCTAAGCGCTACCGTTGGAGCTAACGGCAACTCATGGAGACAATAGTTTCATTAAGCATTTATATAGATACAATTTAGTGATGTTCCACTTTTTTTTATTAAAAAAGTAGTTTTTTCGGTATTAAGGACAAACTAAACCAATTTCATTTTTGAGGGAAAAAGTTGTATAAATTACAACAACAACAAAAAACATAACTTTGTTTTGGTTTGAAATGTCCTTCTCGGGGGATTCCCCGTTTTTCACACCTAAAAACACGGTAAATTCCGCATATTTGACTTTCATCTGTTTTGGGGGGTTAAATTAACTATTTTTCAGACATATCATAATATATAAAAATCGAGATATTGATCTAATAACATTTTTATTTCTTGTTTTTATCGTTTTTAACCTTTCAGCACTTTTTGAAATTGGCCCTTCTGTGAAAAAATATCAGGGGAAATTGGCCCTACCTCTTTTTTGTTCTGCCCTGGCTGGGATTTGAACTCATGCTACTGAGATATCGTGGCACCAAATCGCCTTGAATTATGCCCGACGCACTAGACCACTCGACCACCTAGGCTCTATTATAATAAACTTTCGGTGGCCGGGTTTTACCTTTCCTCGTCAGTTTTTATCTAGCGTCGTAACACAGTACATGATATATAAGGCGTGAAGATGGAATTGAAACAGATCAGCTGAATTATCTATTGTAAAGGATCCTACAAATTAATATAAGATGCAGTTACAGAAATAATTATATTATACATGTATATATACGTCTGAACCAGTGACGAGTCTACAACAGATTTTATCCATCGGATCACCAGCAGTTATGGTGATACAAGGCTGAAAATACATTCTGTATATATAATTCGTCTAAACAACAGCCCAACATTGTTAGATCTGTAAACTTGCGGAAGCAAATTTTTTGTTCTTCCCTGGCCGGGATTCGAACTCATCTACTGAGATATCGTGGCACCAAACCGCCTTGCACAATGCCCGACGCGCTAGACCACTCGACCACCTAAGCTCTATTATAATAAAGCTTTCGGTGGCCGGTTGTTACCTTTCACCGACCGTGCGAGGGATGTATATCCAGTCAAGGTCGTAAAACACTTCCAGTAGTTACCTTTCCTCGTCAGTTTTTATCTAGCGTCGTAACACAGTACATGATATATAACAGTCAGGATTCTACTTCGTCAAAATTATCTCCCCATTACGCCAGTTCATTTTTACAATCGTAAAAATGGAAGCCATTGTAGGGATGACGCGCTGCCAATTTAGCTCTTGGAAACCGATAAGTTTATCCGCATAGCACCATTACGATCCTTATATGCCAGTTGTATTTTAAAAGACAAATGTATCTACTAGCTAATGAGCATCAGTTAATGTACTTGTCTGCATTCAGTCAACTTAAAACTATTGTCTGATCGGTTGTCAGGTGGAATTTTCGAAAATTCATAAACATTTAAAAAAAAATTTAATTTAATATTTCGTGGAAGGGCAGACTAAAAAATTTCAGTGGTTGAAGACTATAAACCCTAGATATCACACACAAAAAATGAAGTTTTTTGGAAGATACGCATTTTTAAGATCCAACTTAAAAGTCTGTCGTCAAGTACTTTTAGTAAAAATTTGCTATTCGAACACACCTACTCTGTTTTTGTGATTCATTAGAAAGGTATTTCACTTGACCTATATATTTCATTTTTTTAGTACTGTGAATTTTTGATGTTATAAAGTCAACCTGTAGCCTTGATATATAAAAATGATAGAATCTGAAGCGAGATGATGTATCAAATACTTTTGCTTTTTACGTTTTCAAGACAAAGTATTCAACTCAAACACGCCCTAACATAAAAAGGTGCGCTCGATTTTCTCTTTTCGACGCAATTGTTACCCATTTTTTGGAATTTTTTCTTGAGTCACATAATGGAAGGGCAGAAACGAAAATTAAGGAACAAATAGATTGATATGTTCTCCGTCCGTGGTAATTTTTTTTGAAAAATCGGAGGTTATGCATTTTTATACGCCCGTTTACGGGACGTATTATGGTATACCGTTGTCCGTCTGTCCGTCCGTCCGTCTGTCCGTCTGTCCGTCCGTCCGTCTGTCCGTCTGTCCGTCCGTCGTCAACATGTCGGACATTAACTCATAAACGCTTTAACCAATTTGCATAAAACTTTGGTGAGTTGTTTATATCTATTGACGTGAGCTCCCTTTCGTTTTTTATAAATTTTGAATTTTACGTTTCTGAGTTATGGGGTTTTATTCATTAAAAATGGGGGATTTTCCAGTTTTCGGACAATAACTCAAGAATGCTTTCACCAACTTGCAAGAAATTGTGGTGAATTGTTTATATCTATTGACATGAGCTCCCTTTTGATTTTTATAAATTTTAGATTTTACGTTTCCGAGTTGCAGGGTTTTATTCATAAAAAAGGGGGATTTTCCAGTTTTCTGACAAAAACTCAAAAATGCTTTCAGCAGTTCTTATGAAACTATGGTGAATTGTTTATATCTATTTAAGTAAGCTCCCTTTAGAATTTTATAAATTTTACATTTTACATTTCTGAGTTATGGGGTTTTATTCATTAAAAAAGGGGGGATTTTCCAGTTTTCTGACAATAACTCAAAAATGCTGTCAGCAATTCTCATGAAACTTTGGTGAATTGTTTATATCTATTGATGTAAGCTCCCTTTTTATTTTCATAAATTTCTAATATGACATTGAGAATTAATTGAACTTTATTTGTTTATAGTCTGACAACAGATTTACTAAGTATTGCGCAACAGCACAGTGTATTGCACAACAGCAAGAAATCTTTAATTGAATATAAATTCAATTCATATAAACAATTTCAAGTTCTTTGACTACATTTATTCAGAAACCTGTAATATGTCAAATATTTAATTACAATCCAAATTCAGACCTGTATTAAGCTTGAATATTGTGTCCATTTTTGCCCCAACTGTTCAGGGTTGGACCTCTGCGGGCGTATCCAGCTGCGCTCAGCGAAGCAGTTTATTAAGATCCAACTTAATAGACACCCATGTCGTCGACCTGATACTAATTGTTCTGCTTAATTATGTAATAGATAAATTGAAAACTTATGCAAATTGTGTTTTTATGATAAAATATTCCGTAATTTAGCCAAAAACTGTCATTTTATTTGTTTCTATTAACTTTTAAAATTTGAGTTACTACAGTAAACATTACAGTAAGCATTTATCGCCTTCTCTAACAAAGAGCTTCGATTCTTTTGTTCTATTTCAACTGGGTTTCCGCCTGATAAGGCATGAAGATGGAATTGTTACAGATCAGATATATATATATATATATATATATTTATATAAATATTCATAATTACTCTAAATATCAGCACAACAATGTTAAATCTGCAATTTTGCGGAATCAAATTTTTTTTCTAATATATATAGATATATATATATATATATTGCATGCACACGTATAAAAATTGCGGTTTTTATCCAACGCAATCATAGGTTTGAACGTTGTTTTCAATTTAGACTTGTTTATATTTTTTCGTTTGGGCTTGTATTATATTTACCTTCGGGTTTATATGATCCGTTCATCCTATTTCGACTCTTCAAAATTCAAGAGTCTATCCTAAATTGAGGTAAATTATATGGCCTTCCAAATACCGTTTCGACTCCTAACATCACTGAAGAGACATTTTTTGTCGAAATCCGGATATGGTGTACTAATATTTGCACCTATTGTTTGCGGTGTATCCATCTTTTCCGCAAGTTTATTGTTTTCTGTTTGATATTAGATTAATATTCAAGCTCCATTTTGTTACATCATTCTGGTGATCATTTTATTTGGCAATCGCCAATGGCAGTCAGCAGGGTTTAAGAACATCCGTTGTTCGACCTGCTAGTCAAATGCGTTTTGTTAAAATATACTTTGTCACTTTTTTGGTCTTTTTGAAAATGATTTTTGTGCTGTATTTAGACCCCTTTACCAAGAAAACTGTTTTGCATGCACACGTATAAAAATTGCGGTTTTTATCCAACGCAATCATAGGTTTGAACGTTGTTTTCAATTTAGACTTGTATATATGGGTATGTAGGAGGCATTAATTTTTTTGGTCTGTGCGTTCGTCCCAAATACTGTTAACATATTTTGATTAAAGTTTAAACATAAGGATGTGATAATTGGTTGATAATGAGAAAAGTATCCATTAAGACCAAAGGACAAAGATGTGAACTAGTACATGTCATCCTACGGCCTTCAACAATGAGCAAAACTCAAACCATATACTTGTATTAATATTAAGAACAATTTAAGGAAAAACCAACGGCCTAATAAGACATACAACAACTATCGACAACCAATGGATTACAGGTTCTTGGCTTGGGACAGATATTGGGGTTTAACATGTTTGTAAAAATCAGTTGGAAATGGCTCGACTGATCAGATCGGTATTAAGCACAAAAAAACAAAACAAAAAAAAACATTTACAGTAAAAAAAAAAACTAAAGACACAAAGTACTGATCTTAAGAGTAATTTATCATGAATTTGTTGGATAATCAAATTTAAACTTAATAAATGTTCATTATGATGTCACTTTAAAATCATATTCTAAATTACGGTTTTGATCCCTATCTCATTGTTCAATGAACACGGAAAAGAGATCGCGCAAGCGGGGAATTTTGTCCCATGAACATATATTATTGTTTTTCAGTTTCATATATTATTTCAAATTTTCAAGGTACACCAGAAGAACCAAGAATAATTAAATACTTTTTGAGACCTATTTTTCTGTCAAGTACATTGAAAAGTATGTCAGACATGGAAGATTACTTGAAAGATTCTTGTTCGGATATAGACTACACAGTCGTGCGACCACCTGGGCTTACTAACGATCCAAGTTCAGGTAATAACAAATACAAAGATAATATGGAAACTTTAAATGTCATGAGTAATTTCTATTGTTCAAACATTCGTATATATATATATTTACGTAATAGTTATCCCATGAGTACGCGGTGTGTCAGTGTAAGATAACCCCGACGGCCGGAGGCCGTAGGATGATCTTACACTGACACACCAAGTCCGAGTGGGATAACTATTTTACATGCCAGCTCTTCTAGACTATATGAAAAAAACATTTACGATTCATAACATCTAGTTCAGAATGCCATACAATAATTATAATATACTTTATATATTACTATATAGTATATACCCTTTATGAGCCCCGGATACAACGCTTAAATATGTTAAATTAACAGAGAGTTTGTATCCAGTCGTCTTGGCGTAGGAGTGTGAATCGTGGCATCATATGCTAACGGTCTTGAGTTCGGTTCCCCACATAGACACTGGAAATTTAGTGGATTTTTTTCTACATAATTTTGAAAGTAAGTCTTTATTCCGCTTAAATATTTCTAAGTTTTATTGTGTGTTCGACATTCCCGCCAAAATGTTACAGAACAAAAGAAAGCATGCAGAACAAAGAAACTCAAGGTAGGATGATCTGGTAGGGGTGATTCGACACAGAACAAAGGAGTTAGGATATAATTATAAAATAGCAAAATAGCAACTGGTATCACAGTTAATGTGGTATACGGAACATTTTGGAAATCTCGCTTAACCATTTCGTTGAATTTAAATAATTTCAAATGCAATATCATTTGAACTGTGATAAACTGCAAAACAACAAAGTCATTATCCATGTACTTTATAAATGCATTTATTATAAAAGTTTGTGGGATAGTTTTTTTCATTATATATTTTTGTAAAACATTGTAAAATGACGTATTGATTTCCACTGACAATAAGATTAGCAAGTTTCGAGTAATACATCAGATGACTACATTTGTTAACCATGAAAGTTGCAAATCAAACTTTTAATTTGTTGAATATTTTTTTATTAAATAAAACTAATCTGAAATATTTATGGACACCAACTAGTGTGCTGCTTTGTCAGATTATACACTTCTCACGTTTTACAGAAAAAGAAATAAAAGCAGAGGAGGGACAATGCATTCCAGATATTGTCGGAAGAATACCACGGCGTGACGTTGCAAAGTTTATGTTAGAATGTGCTATCAGCCATGACTGGAACCAGAAATGTGTTGCTATAGGACTTGAAACGTAAAGAAGACCAAAACCAAATTCTCTTCTTTTCTTTATTTATATTTCATTGTTGTAAAGAATGATATGATAATATATATAATAAATCTTTCTCTATGTTTATTTTGATAAAACCAAGAAGAAATGGTAAAAAATGTTTGTCTCTATGCACAAACCTATATTGCCATTTAAGCGAAATGTCATATAAATAATCTTATATTGTTCGTCCTAAAGCATAATATTTAAATCAAATTAATATAACACAAGTTTTAAAAAGAACCTAAATAACAATACCGAAAGAGGAATCCTAAAAGTAAAACACATTACCAATTTTCAATTATGGTCCTAAGAGTGGACTTCTGCACAAAAAAATCCCACCAGAAAACTGATTAACTAATTAATAACAAATACAGTTTACGAAAAACAAATATGGCAGACATGAATCAACGACAAGCACTGAATTACAGGCTCCTGACTTGGGTCAGACACATTAAGAATGTGGCGAGGTTTAACATGTTTGTGAGCGATAACCCTCTCTCTAACATGGACAATAATGTAACAGCACAACACAAGAACAAGTTTTAAAAATCAGTTGCAATTAGATTGGTACGAGGCACAAATAAACAAATAACATAAAAACACGAAGCACCGATATAAGAGCAATCGCAGTCACTGGAATTTAGTTTAAAGAGCCAATTACAACTAATAATTAAATCTTGTTCTCCCAGACTAAAGTATCAATTCGTGAGTACGAATTTAAATGTTCATTTAACTACAAATTTTGTATAGGCTTGTATGTAGACTTATGTAAAATTACGAAATCAAATATCCGCAAAAATACAATTTTTCCTTAAGGCACGAACATGAATACATACGAAAATAAATGAATACACAGTTTTTAGCTATGTTTTAATTTTTTTAAAAACAAAATCAATATTATTACCAATAAAACACTGTTTAAAGGGGCATTAGCTGTCAAATTCACCGATTTGACACAATTTTCTAAACTAAAACGTATATCCAAATTAGAAAAAGGTCTAAAATAAACAATTAACAATACATTGACTCAATCATATGTATCAACATTTCGTGTGCATTTTTATCTATAGACGTCATCTAATTAACCATCGAGATGACACCCGAAGACTGCCGACGGTAATATAACCCGATATAAACATAAATATCAAATTTGTTTGATTTCATATTGTAAGTTAAAAAAGATGATTATCATCGTGATTACCTGTACAATAATGATTTTTTTTGTGGATTGAATTAGTCAACCAAAATGGATCATCTTTGTTTCACTTTCAATGTTGACATTCATTTCCTTTTTATAGCTGAATACATGCGTAACCTATCTCCAGCTAAGGGGTTAAATTGAAGGTCACATGAATACGAATTCAATGAGGTGTGAATAATTCATCAGCGATTTTTCTTATCTTAGTTTGACAAAATTGAACTAAATTGGCTGCTAAAAGCGAATTATTATTTCACTATATGACTTTCATTAATGATTGAACCAAAAAAAAAATAATCATATTTTATTTTTTTGATTCAGCCATGCTGGATCTATGCGATCACTCTGTTTTTGGAGATGGTGAAGATTACTAAGTTGAAGACATAATATTAAACTAATTATGTGTTTTTATGACTTGCAGAAACTTTCTACACCATTTTAATCATCAACTGCCAACTTTTGACATGTTATTTGTCCTTAAATCAAGAAAAGATTGGTCGAACAACCCTTTTATTTTAGATATACACTTGCATATAGTTCCTTTGTAAATCAAATTTTATAATGATTTACTATTTATGAATTAATTTGAAAAAGTATTTGTACATCAATTGAATCAGTTGATAAGAATTTTGAAAGTATTATATTAATATCTTATCTAATGTGTAAGTTGTTGTTCAATGAAATGTAGGTCAACATCTGTATTAATATATTTAAGTTGATTACAATCAAAGGTAATTGGAAATTACCCCAGGCTTAATTCACCACAGTTAATATCTCATGACCTGTTACATAATTAAATAGACACAATTTATTACACACCTAACTGAATACACACATTCTCAATAGTAAACCTAAATATGTATTTATTTATTTTAATCTACACTAAAATATTCTGTTAGTTTTGCTAGCTAGCTGAATGATTAATTAGATGTGTTTTTTTTCAAAGAAAAGACAAAAAATTAAAAAAAGTATGTATCAAAAATGCAAGCAAATTTTATTTCACTTGTAAAATCAGAGTGTCATTATCATCTGACATAAGTCAATAATCAAGTTCAAATTAATTAGTTGCAGTTATCAGAAATTTGGTTGAAATAATATACAAAATTGCATTACTCTTACCTGAGCATTTTCTGCAATAAAACTTATTTGTTTGTTCTACATTTATATCCCATTATATTGCTATTTAACAGTAATTGGAAATATCTCATCATTAGGTACTTGTACATTTAATTTACAGGAAATGTATTTTTGTCTTAATGAAGAATGAACACCAATTTAGATAAAATATTATTTTATTATTATTATTTTTTTTAATTTTTGTTGTTGAGAAAGTGCATTTCTAAGGCCTCTTTCTGGAAATTATAAAGCCAGTTATTATAAATGGCATATAAAAAAATATATTACTTATTTGACGATATCCCTTTCCATTCTTGTCAAAAAAAATCTGACAGAGTCTAAAATTGAAATATCAATATATATAACAATATTTGCTTTAATATTTTTATTTCCTTTGGAAAATAACATAGAAATTTTACAGTTAGATTGAAAATGAAAAGAGAAGAAAATATTGAAAAAAGTATGGTCAGAAAGAATATCAGACTAGCTATAAATATGGCTGGATCACAACATCGACGATGCTTTGATTTATATCTCGTAACTAATGCCCCTTTAAATACTTTACTACGGTGTTAAATTGATAACCTTTGAAAATAAGATTATACAAAGGATCAATGAGTTGGCATGGATCGTATCTAGATTTACGTACTCTACAAACAACATCACCGTAAGAATTAAGAATTTTAGTAAGAATTCTTCAGGTAGAGCCGAACTTCCTTACCAAATTTTTGTATCTATGAAAGAATTAAGTAAACGTTTTCTGGACTTAATCATTTGCCAGTTATATAGAAATTACGTTCATTGAAATCTAAAATGCGACTACAGACACCGGCATAGCGAACAAGTTGTGAAATATAAACACAGTAGAAGGGACCAAAGAAACACCCCCGTCCAAAAATTGTTAAGATTAATAATAAGGAATGAAAAAAACGTCTTTTTTTGTCGTAAATTCTTGTATATAGTTTCCCGTGTGAAAATTCAATACAATGTATCAAAATCTAGAAAAGGACAATTATTGCTGTCTATAATAGATTAATTTGAAGAAAATTCCCTTGGGTAAATTTCCGAAGCAAAATTAGAAAATTCTTGATTATTGAATGCAAAACATATCATCAAGGTAACGGTAATTGTTTTTGCTCGTTTTAACATGGGTAGGCATTTTAAAGAAGCTGATTCTAGAAAAAGAAACCACCGTAAATGAATAGGCTGACGTCAGAGCAGTGGTTTAAATTCATTGGATGAGAATGGGTAAGAAAAGGAGTTGATTAAAAAAAATTTCGGAAACAAAAGGCCTATGTCAACAAATAGAGAAATGTAATTCTTTTTTTCAGTTCAACTTTGTAATTATGACCATATCTTATCTGAGGAGACTAACGTGACTAAGAACTAAAACATACCTTAAACACATCAGAAGACATGTCCTAGTCCTAAGACAGCTTTGATGACATGATCCCAGGAATGAAGATATATAATCTTTTATTAGATATATAATCTCTTAACAGTAAGAAGCAATTAAAAATCTGGATTCTTTCTTAAAATATTCACCCGATTTCCTATTTCTTATAGATTGAATGAAGTTTTTTTTCCTTCTTTTTCTGTGTCAATTTTGTGTACTTTGCAAAGATTTTGAGATCATGAACCATACAAAATTATAATTTTATTTAAATATTTATTTCAACACTGTGGTTACGCTTTCATCGGGGGTAAAGTGGGTACGTTTTTACTGACCATATCGATATATCAAACAAAGGCTTGTTATTGATATTTAATCAGTTCGGCGAAACTATTGAGGAAGTAGGTCTTAATTTTGGAAAATAAAATAAGGTAAGGCTCACTGCTTATTTAAAAGAAAGACCCGTTCAAAATTCAAATGTGAAAAATCTGAAATTTAAAGCAGCAAAACAAAAATAACATATATATAAAATCAACTTGTAGTAGTAATAAATAAAATGAATTGGAGTAGGAATGCAGTTTGGGAATTTTTTCATTGAGTGATAATGTTTAGATTTTCATATAAAAACAATACAAGGATTCCACTAAAATGCAATTTTATACAGCATACATGTGTAAAATGTCGTTAAAGACATTAAGACGTCGCTCTTATTAAAAGCGCCGATTTTGTTCAATACCTGTCAAGATGAAAAAGATACTAGGTCATGATTGACAAAATACGTTAACCCGGTTGCCGCGGAGCATTTTTAAAACATTTTTTGTGGGTCATACGAATATTTTGTTTAATATTTCATTATAAAACATGAAATGAATAATTTTCTACGTATATTACAGCATATCATGAAACTGTGCAGTACATGTGTTGCTGACAGAAAAACGAAAATTATATTTATTAACAAAAAATAAGTAAACAAATGTGCCAACATTATTATTATATGAAAATTTTCCTTATTTTTTGAATGATTCATTTTCTCATATTGTTTTATCAATCCGGGGAAAGTATTTTTAATATGTATCTCAAAATCACAGTTACCTTTAGGAAAAATACCACATAAATTGATATCACAGCTTCAAATGTAGATGTACTTTGTTGTAACAAAAGTATGCTGTATATCTAAACATATAACCAACTTATACATTCTTCAAGATGGCTTTAATATGCAATTTAAAAGTTTTTGGTAAATAGAGGATCAAACCTAAAGAAAAACACGTTCTTAACCAAAACGAACATTCTTTCAGAGGTAATGCTGTAAGTTACCTTTCAGATACAATTTGATTGATTTGTGTTACATAAATGTTTGAAAAACGTTTTGAAATTATTTGAAATATTACTGTTTGATTTCCTTGATACGTATAGTTTAAGCCTTTGCATAAAGTTTGAGGCCTTCGATAACCTACAGCTATGTAGATTTTTACCTCCTAATTTTGTGACTGGTTAATTGTCTCAACATCAACCATTCCATTCAGCCGTATTTATTTTTATCAATGATACAATATTTGTTTTTTTACTATTGTTGTTAATTAGAAGCAACAGTAGATTGCCGATGTCCAAATCTCGTAAATATATTTGGAATAACAAAAAAAAAAAAAAGTAAACCTGAGGGAATTGCTTGAACTCCTAACTTAGCGAGACCGACTGTGTCGACAGGATAACCGTATCCGGCTATACATTGATCACCCGACAAGAGAATCCAAACTCAGTCAAAATGTTTTAATAGGGAATAGAACACATACGGTAAATTTATAAATTAGACGTTTATTCTGGTATCTAGAGATCTGTCCGCGAAAAGATGTTTCTTGTGAGTTGAGACACAGACATTTCGTTGTGGTCAACCAGTTCATATTAATGTCCATAGCAGTCTTTCTTCTCAAAACCCTGCTGGATATTTTTGTGTGTGTCAGTAAGACATTCCTGTTTATGTAGTCTGTATAATTTGAAAACTCATCAGAGACCAGGATGAAAATAAACAAAACATTGATACCGATAACATTCTTTATGAACCTGTTCACAGCCCGACGTCTGCAGTATAGAAACTGTCGTTTTTTACAAAATTTCAATCCTGGTATCTATGATGAGTTTATTTGTTACCATCTGCCATGATTGTTTTTCATTATATTTGAAACCTGAAAACAAAGAGATATGTAACGCGTGTAGTAAGGCATACTCAATACAACTTCATGGCTAGTTACAGCGCTGGGTTCTTGGTTTTGATGCAACCGTCACACGATAGACGGCCTCGGTGAGGTCTGTCGGAGATCCGCTAAGTATTACAACTTAATTTTTACAGCTTTAAGAAATACATCAAATTCTAACACTGCAAGTTTTAAAGAAAGATGTAAATACAGCTATTTTAAATTCAGATACTTAGTTTTGTAATTATATTTCAACCGTTAATTGGAGTGTGGTGCGTTTTAAGGATTACCACATACTATATGTCATGTTTTTCTTTTCTTTTAATTTGGTTGTTTCATTTGAAAAAAGTTGGAATTGTAAATGTATCAGATAATTTATGTTATAATGATAATCTAATTGTATGGATTGTATTTGCCAAAAAAAAAAGGCTCATGATTGGCTATGATGATCGAGTATTCTAATTATTTGGACCTTTGTTTACAATACTTCATTTAATGTGACTCTATCACAAGATATCTCGCGACCCTATACAATGAATATAAAATTTGAATGATATTGCTGTCAAAGTAATAACAGATTGTTTTAAAATACAATGACATGTAACTTCAAATTGTTATGGAGGCTTATTTCTGTCGTCGTTAAGTCGAATTGTCGAGATAATTAAAGAGGTTTGTTTAGATAATTATCGCGGCAAGTCGACTTAATTATCTCGACAACGACGACGGCAGAAATAAGCCTCATCAAATTGCCTTACTTATAATGCATCGTGTAACGATTCCCATCTACTAACGCATTAATAAAGGAAACGACAGAAACTGCATGGAAATGTAAATTTTATTTTGATAGGTGAATGTGGTCAGTTTGGCCAGAGCGCTTGGTTCTACGCAAGTAGTGTTACAGCTGCACGAGTTTTAGATTCTGATGTCAGAGGAATGTCGGAGATTGATCTACTGACTTTTAAGAAACAAGATTTAAAATCACAAGTAGGAAGTGAACAAGCCAGCTTTGTGTGTTGTACCATATAGCAGAAACTTTTGTTACAGTATATAATGTTATGTACAAATATACATGATTACCAGGAGCGGATCCAGGATTTTTGAAAGGGGCGTAATTCCCGATAATTGAATTTTTTTATATATATCGTGAAAACTTTATATTTTTTTTATACTTTTTGCGACCAAAAGAGGGGGAGGGGGGGATGGGGTGGGGGCTGGGTCCGCCACTAAGTAATAAAGAGTATTAGTATTGGGTCATCTACTTAAATCGGTATCATAAAATTGAGAATAGAAACAGGGAATGTGGCAAAGAGACCACAACCCAACCAAAGAGCAGAAAACAGCTTAAGGCCACTAGCGAGAAAATCCCGTATCCGCAGACAAGCTTCAGCTGGCCCCTAGATAAAAATGTGTACTAGTTCAGAGAAAATGGACGTCACACACAACTCCGAAACATATAGATGAACAAAAATTAAAAGAAAACATACAAGAATAACAAAGGCCAGAGGTTCCTGACTTGGGACAGGCGCAAAAATGCGGCGGGGATAAACATGTTTTGTGAGATCTCAACCCTTCCCCTATACCTCTAGCCAATGTAGAATAAACAAACACAGCAATACGCACAGTAAAACTCAGTTTAAAGGAAGTCCGAGTCCGATGTTAGAATAGGTAACAGAAGAAACTAAGCAAAATGACAATGATAACATAAATTTACAAAGGACTACTTGCAGTCACGAACATGCCAGCCCCAGACCTCAATTAAACTGATTGAAAGAGTATGTCTTCATGATATGAAAATCAAGCAAAATCCCTCCCGTTAGGGGTTTAGTATCATACCATCATAAAATATATGAGAACATAACCCGTATCATTTATTTAGCGCAAAATTCTTAATATTCCCATTATAGTGGATTGTATATATAATTTCAACGTTAACGATAAATAAAGATAATAATTATGACTGAAAGGATGATTGTAAGTATGTAAATGTATTTATTTTTATTTATGAATGATATATAATCGAATATGTAAACAGAGGCGGTTAAGAGGGGCGGGGTGACCGGGGCCTCCTTATGGAGCTACATTTATGGTTAATCTAGACTTTTTACCTATTTCAATCCATACTTTTTCTAGTTTGGGGGCCCCTGACCCCTTTCAAAATCCTGGATCCGCAACTGGTAACGAGGAGATATTCAATAATACCAAGGGGAATAACTTATCTCACATTTTGCGTATATTTTTGAAAGAAGAGAGATAACTCTACTTCCTTTACATTACAATATCGATGAGGTGGCAGAAACCAGTTTTTTTCACTAATTCACGTGCAAGTGCATGCCAAATTTAAAAAAAAAATCTGTAAATAAATCTGTAAGACTTGAACATGCCTAGATATTTTTTGTGTGTTATGAATTGATTGAAACTGATAGTGAAGTACTTCTGGTCAATGTTTTTTATATTGTTTCTTTATCCCGCATTACCTACTTTTCCCAGATAACGGACAAAATCATGTCAAATTTTCAATTTTGCACACTATTCCAGACCTCATTGCAGTAAATCTGCTAATTACTGACAAGAATATCATTCAAAATCATCTAATTTAATCACTTGCACCTCGAATAAACAACAGCGGAACCTATCCTTACCATCAAAATTTGACACTTTGCACTGTCCTTAAAGAACCAATTGTTTTGACCAATGGAAAACATGATAAAAATGTATAGCTAGCCTTCAAACAGTATGTATATGGGACTCTTAGGTTTTTCATGTCAAACAAAGATAAAACCATGAATGTTGCATATAAATGAAAACAGGGAAGGTAGCATTGTGTAATGCAAACTTAGAATTTTAAATCTTTTTATTTATCACTGCCCAGTGAAGTGACAAAGATAGCCAAAGTTTTTTAATACTAATTTTCTACGTGGGACACTGGCACAGAGGCTAAGAACTGGTACCTGCCACCTTACGCATTTTTTTATATTGTATGTGTTTGACTTTTGATGTTATGTACAAGTTTATTAGTCTTTTTTGAATTAAAAAATCTTAAATGAGAGTTATATTTCTTCATGAAACAAATTTTACAGGCTTTCAAAGGAAGGTGGTGTCTTTGCGGAATTTCATTCAAAATTCCAGCCGTCACTGACAATCACAGAAAAATGCTTATAAAAGACTTAAATGTGTTAGGCACAAATAAAAACCATATAGAATTATTATGTAGTAAATTTTATTAAAAGAAAACATGTAAAAAGGCCAAGAACATTACATGTCTATGAAAAAATATAAAAAATATTACCCCACTTTTCAAATTTCCAGAGATTTTCAGTTCAAAATATGTAATAAAAGTATAATTTTATCCAAGGCATGTACCCATATGTTAAAAAAAGTCCATTGAACTAAAAAATAAATTGCTTTTTGTGTTATATAATGTTACATTCATATACCTCACATTGATTTATTATGTTAGATTTAATATATGACAGTCAAAGGGAGGTAATTAGTAAATATTTTGACAGCATCTATCAACCTCTTTAAGATGACTCAGCACAGGACATAAAGTTCCAAATCTATCAAAACATATGATTCAGAGATGTTGAAACTGTATCCCTTCTATTTTTAATTCTTATTGCACTCTACTTTGTCAAATTGACCCATCATAAATTCCTTTCCATTTCATACAAACAAGTTGAAAAAGTGATAGTCGTTTCTAATTTAAAATGGTTTATTCTCGTCGAAGTTTCATAACAAATCGTTCAAAGCAAAAAAAAGTGTTTCAGAAGGGACATAAACACTTTCCAATACACAAGGATTCTTAGAAATCAAGTGGAAACTGTTCTTTTTCTTCTGATTTCAAACGTCCAAATTCACAGGAATACAATGATGCTGTAAAAGTTCTGAGTGATAATCAAACAACAGACACTAAACAGCCTAAACACCTGGTTCCTTCAAAAATGAGACCTGAAAAAGATAAGGAATGTGAAAATTTGAATGATTTTTCAGTTTCTGAAGATTCAGAGGAAAATATAATTGTAACACTTAAAAAATCATTGAATTTATACCGCACAATTGTTCGCTTGCTAAACCAGATGTTGTCATGTCGAAAAGGTTGGGTATTTGTGTTTCAGTAAAAGTAGTATGTACAAATTGTGGCTTTTCGTCTGAACCTGTAAAACTTTATTCAACAATGAAATCTCCTACAGGCCCAGACAGTGGTATACTAAACAATGCATTGTTGATACCAGTGATCAAATCAAAAGTTGGGATCTCAGATATATTACAATAATGTCTTGCCTTAATATTCAGTGCTTAAGTCGGACGGTAATGCAAAGAAAGGTCAACAAAATATCAGATTTAATGGTTGACATCAATAAAAATACAATGATGGAGAACCAGGAATGTGTGAAAAAAGTCCTTGAGTGTGCAGAACAAGACAATTCCTTTGATGCGGAGGTAGATTCTTCTTTTAACAATCGCCCGCAAGCTGGTTTTGAAGCAGCATCTCAAACATTCTGTCCTTTCATCGAGCATAATACAAGAAGGAAGCTACTAGTAAATTTGATAGTAGCCAACACGTTTTGTCCAAAATCAAATTGTAATCATAACAATGACAAATGTAAAAAAAACTACAATACTGACGAGTCAATGTCTTAACTGAAGGGAAGTTTGTAAAACGACATTTAAATGAAATAAACAGTAATAAAATTTTAAAAGTACGTTCTGTTACGCGTGATGCCTCTGCCCAAATTCCCAAATCTGTAAATGATTATTCTAAAGGCAATAACATACCGATTCGCCACTATAAATGCTTTGTCCACAAGTTGAGAACCTTACAAAAACATGTGTGAAATGTAAAACTAAGCAGCTTAATGCATGGGTTCGACAAGGATATTTTTGTAAGAAATTTGGCAAGTGGTATACTGAGTTCACTCTAATTAAAAGGCTCTCTGCCAATGAGTGTAGTTTTATTGAGCGCGGCAGGAGAGCAGTTGAAAATGTTATTCAATGTTTTGCAAATGATAATAGAAACTGTAGGAAAGATTCTCTTGTTTGCTCTGCTAATTTATCTATGTATAATACAAGCTACTTGCCATATGCCAGGCATTTGGAACTGAACCAGAATGACATAAAAAAAATTGAAATCAGTCTTAGTAAAGAACTTTTCCAACTCTGAGATACAGAAAATTTCCCGTCGATCAACAACCAATAAGTGTGAAAGTTTCCATAGTAAGGTATTTTCATTTACACCAAAAAATACAATTTGGACCAGGAATTTGGAAGGTTTATGTCATTCTGTGGTCCATTCCTTATCTCTTGGAAATGGGAAATCCTGTATGTTACTTGGAAGCCATATGACTTAAATACAGAAAGACAGACCCATTTATCAAAAATATGAGACTTTGTGACAAAACGGGTGAATACCACACATTCAGAAAAACTGTGCAAACGAGAACATGATAAATGAATATCAATACGCTAACAGGAGAGACTTTACCTGAATGTTACAGTAAACATTTGGGTATCCATAGTGTAACAAACATTCTGCATTATTTTTGCAAATCTTGAGCTTGTTATTTATTCTCTGTGGTTCTATGATAAATGTTCTTTCCTTAAGCACAGTTCATTGTGACATAAATGTGAAAGATTCAATTTATGATCCATTGGATTAAAATTGTCAGAGATAAAGTAGCTGAGTCGATGGGCAAATATTTTTATTTTTTTCCCTCTAAATCTTGTTTCATAAACTCCATAGCCTTTATTCTGTTGCCCTGTACAGAGCAAACATCCACTGACTAATTGTTTTTGTTTCAAAAACAGAGAAAAGCTTATCTTTTTCATTTTGTGTAAGCTGACATTTAAAAAAGTCAGACAATTGGGATATTTACTTATTTACACTATGAATATACAAAAAGTGCTGTTTTCCACTGAAAATATAATCAGAAAAACATTGATTCATTGTAAATTATTGATTACTATACATATTTTACATTTTGGAATATCATATGCTTACTGAATAGTCAACTGTAAGTAACATTTTTGCAGCAAACACACTCTTTCAACTTGTGTATAAAACTTGAAAATCAGTATCTGAATAGAGTTATCTTCCTCGAATTTCAATGCATTTACCAAAACCATGAGTTCATCCCTGAAACTGTATTTTCTGTTTGTTTTCGGGGTGATTTAGAGTGAAAACACTTGAAATTATTTTTAAAAGGTGAAATTAACCTTCTGCCTTCCATTTTAATTTCATCATCTATGTTAATGGTGGCAGAAACCAGTTTTTTTTTTTCACTAATTCACGTGCAAGTGCATGCCAAATTAAAAAAAAATGCTGTAAATAAATCTGTAAGACTTAAACATGCCTAGATATTTTTTGTGTGTTAAGAATAAATTGAAACTGATAGTGAAGTAATTCTGGTCAATGTTTTTTATATTGTTTCTTTATCCCGAATCACCTACTTTTCCCAGATAACGGACAAAATCATGTCAAATTTTCAATTTTGCACCCTATTCCAGACCTCATTGCATCAAACCTGCTAATTACTGACAAGAAAATCATTCAAAATCACCTAATTTATTCACTTGCACCTCGAATAAACAACAGCGGAACCTATCCTTACCATCAAAATTTGACACTTTGCACTGTCCTTAAAGAACCAACTGTTTTGACCAATGGAAAGCATGATAAAAATGTATAGCTAGCCTTCAAACAGTATGTATATGGGACTCTAGGTTTTTCATGTCAAACAAAGATAAAACCATGAATGTTGCATATCAATGAAAACAGGGAAGGTAGCATTGTGTAATGCAAACTTAGAATTTTAAATCTTTGTATTTATCACTGCCCAGTGAAGTGACAAAGATAGCCAAAGTTTTTTAATACTAATTTTCTACGTGGGACACTGGCACAGAGGCTAAGAACTGGTACCTGCCACCTGAGAAGTTGGATATCAGTACTGACAGGTACTATGAAGATTGCCGTTCTTGGTGCAACAGGTCCCACTGGTTTGCAGTTTGTGTTGGAATCATTGAAAAATGAGCACGAAGTCTTTGCTTTGGTGAGAAATCCTGAAGGACTTAGCTCAGTAACGAACGATAAACTTAAGGTATGTTAACGGTACATGTGAGATTTTGAAAAGCGATATAATGAATGGGAATATATATCTAGCAAAGTTTTAGGCGAGTTCAAATTCAAGCAGAGGTCGCATTTTGATATATAAATTTAGGATACACAGTAATTTTTACCTGTTCATATGGGTTTTTTTTAGGATGTTTATTTGTAGTGTGCAGTTTGTCACATCGTTATTGAACATGTGTTTGTAGTGGAAAGAGATCGTCACCTTGAACAAAAATAACACGATATATTCAGAATAATTTTAATTGCCCATTATTGTTACAACATAAAAGGTAACAGCTGGAATGGGTTTATAATAAGCGCAGACTTTTATAGACTTGTACATTTTTATCAAAATTTATACGTATAACATCATAAATGATCAAAATCGATAATACTGACAGCTTCCATAAATGGTCTTTTATATAATGATGTCCTATATGTTAAGTTGTAGTATTTATAATATTATAAGAACGAATTTGCCGATTTTTCCCGTATCGATCTTTGCTTCATCATAAGCTAGGAGACTGGGCCCCGCCCAAAATTAAATCCCTAGTTTTTTGGAGATTGTACACTTGCTTTTACAGAGTACTTTATAGTGTACTCCCAAGTACTGAGTAAAGTGATATAACTGATAGACATAGTCATAACAACATCATTAAGAAAAAAAGAACCTAATTAATCTATATCTTTATAGGCAAAAGAGATTGTTGAGCGACCATTGGTCATTGTAAATGTCCATGTCACTTAGTAAATCATTATGATTTGCCATAGTGATAAGTCAGTCTATATACGACGGGTCTGGGACCAATATTAAATATACAACGCTTTCACTTTTTGAAGAATGTACTGAAGCATCGACCATGCATATTTTATTGGGCATTAGTTTTTTCTAGGGAAACCATTAGTTTTCAACTTTATTTTTTTCAGTAACCTACAGGAACAAGATTTTTTTAAAAGCAATATTGTTTACCAATTTTCAATTGAAATAATCTTTTTTTCCCACTTGATTTTTAAAACAACATTGTTTAAAAAACATGAAATCAATTTTTTGTTGTTAAAAAAAGCCCGCCCCCTCCCTCACAAAAGATGACCGGCCGGTTTCTTGTTGTGAAACTCGTTGATAGATTTGTGTAAAGCAAACCACAAAAATCAAATTGTCACTGTACAAACCCTATATGATGAATATACATGGATAGGATGACTAAGAAATACGAAAGGGGTGATCAAACATTGTCACATTCACGTAAAATTTAACAAAAAAATAGTGTGGCAGAATACAAGTAGGGAAGCTAATGTATATTGAGATGTTTTTCTTGTAAGTAGTTATTTGGGTTGGATGTGCATTAATATGGACACACTACATTGTCTGATGTCATCATTTAAGCCCTATGGCATATCAATTCAATACTTTGTCAAATATTAACTTTGAAATGATAAGATTGAAATATAGTCAGTGAATACCAACAGATGTTTCATATCTATCTACATGTATCTATATATATCTAATATAGCTTAAATAAATGTATTTATGGGATCTTTGATTTTGATTGGTTGAAAGCTAGTGTGAATTTTTGTATTTTATCATACATGTATCAGATGAATTTCGTTTATATTTCACTAACTCTGGGATCTATAAAAAAAAAGGATATCTCAATATTAATACCCTCTCTACAGCGGTATTTACTTTTCTAAAACGTATATACCTTTTCCCCTTAAAGTAGACGTTTGATCTTTAATGCGGCTGTTTTTGCTAACATCTTGAAAGCAAAAGAATAATGAAATAAAATTTCGAATGTTTAACATATAAATGTTTAAAGTATATTATCAAAATTTAAAATACTGT